AAAACACCCCCAGCAACACAGTTTGCTGGGCCCATTTAGGGAGACATGTTTTCTGGTCCACTCAATGCCTCATCCTCTTTGCAAACATTTCAAACGTTTTCTTTTACATGGCTTCTAGATATCACTTAGCATGCACTCTAAATTTAGGAACGGTTATGAAACAAACATATCACCCACAATATCTGCACTGACTATGGCATGAAGCCTGGTACTGGGATCAAGAGGCAGGGAGACACCAGGGAAAAATCCTGCCTCTTATCACAGGGAAGCCTGGTGCTCCTGGCTGATTTGGGAGCTTGTCGGTCAGTCTCAACCCCCAGGTGGCAAGCTTTACGCCACAAAGCCCATTGGACTGTGGGAAACAGGAGAGACGGACGGCTCCTGCTCTCGGCAAGAGGCAGAGCTTGTCAGTCAGTCTCATCTGGTCTGATCCCACCACCCCTGGGTGGCAAGCTTTACGCCACGGAGTCCACTGGATTGCAAGAAACAGGAGAGACCGATGGCTCCAGCCCTGGACCAGAGGCTACTATCCTCGTAGTACCCCTGCAAGGTCAATCCTTGCAGCAGCCCCAAAAGGTCCAGATGCAACCCCTTATTTTGCAGAGGAGGAGTCCAAGGTGGCCCGCCCACAGGAGGCAGAGCTGGCCTCTGTTGCTGTAGTGGAGAAATACTGCACCCCAAGCCACATCACGACACTCTTCAGCCCAGAGTGGGCAGCGTGAAGAGGAAAGACCCCATCCCAGCAAGGATGAAGCCTGCGGTTCCCAGGTCCTCCGTCAGCACGTATCTCATTTCCTGGGCACCCAAGACGGGGACCCCGGGAGGCCCTTTGGTCGGCCTTGGCACAGCCGTGAAGGTCAGATGGGAGCCTGGAGGTGGGGGTGGTGGCATGGCGCCGGCGGACTTTGTCCCTGAAGTGTCTCCTCTCACAGCTCACTCTAGCACTAAAGGCTCCTGTTTTTGAGGTCTGCGGTATTAGAGTTGTTCCCCAAAATTCTGATTTTCCTACTTCTTCGGCACATGCAGGGCTGCAGGTCTCCACCCTCCTGAAGTTAGGGGCGGCCAGTGAGCTGGCAGCGGCAGGGACGTGTGTCACTCCAGGAAAGGTGAAGACCAACTCACCACCCGCCACACTGCCCTTGAACCCAGATGTGGCGACTATGAACGGATCATGGTCCGGCCGGTGGGGGCATCAGCCACCCGGGTTCCTAAGTGAGGAGGGCAAGGGACAGCACCCAGCAGACCTGGCAGGGCAGTGAGAGTGAGCAGGAAATAATCCTTTGTTTTTTTAAGCCACGGCAACCTGGAGCTTGTTCCTGCTGGAGATTAACCCTGCTGTCCTGACTGCTACAGGTCAGGTGACTACAGCGGAATAGCCCTTACCCTAAACCCTTGGACTAGAAGTATTCCAGATTGCATGTGTTTTTGGATTTTGGAATATTTGCATGTACATTTGGTATATTTACACATATAATCACATATATCTTGAAGATGGGACCCAAGTCTAAACACGAAATTCAGGTATGTTTCATATACGCCTTATCACATAGCCTGAAGGTAATTTCATACAACATTTAAAGAATTTTGTGCATGAAACAAAGTTTTCATTGTGTTTTGACTGGGACTCATCCCATGAGGTCAGGTGTGGAATTTTATACCTGTGGCCTCATGTTGATGCTCAAAATGTTTGGGGTTTTACAGCATTTTGGATTTTGGATTTTCAGATGAGTTCAACCTGGATTGGATCTCAAAGGGTGCCCTTCTAAAGGTCAACATGCCTAGCAAGGAAGAGAGTTTTTTTTGTTTTGTTTTGTTTTGTTTTTTTTGAGACAGAGTCTCGCTCTGTTGCCCAGGCTGGAGTGCAGTGGCATGATCTTGGCTCACTGCAACAGCGGCCTCCCGGGTTCAAGTGATTCTCCTGCCTCAGCCTCCCAAGTAGCTGGGACTACAGGCGCATGCCACCATGCCCAGCTAATTTTTGTATTTGTAGCAGAGACCGGGTTTCACCATGTTGCCCAGGCTGGTCTCGAACTCCTGACCTCAGGTGATCTACCTGCCTCGGCCTCCCAAAGTGCTGGGATTACAGGCATGAGTCACTGTGCCCGGCCGAGAGTTCTTAAAACTGAAGATCTTCCAGGTAAGCCCATCTTTGCATGGCAGGAACCACAGGTTAGGCTGGGAGCGTCCGGAAGCAGAACATGGAAGCCAAATTCTGATGGTTGCAGCACGGGTGGAGGCTGATGGCACCAAAGTCAGGGGGCAGAGAGCGCAGTAAACACATGTGCCCCTTCTCTGTCCTACCCAGGCCTCGGTTTCCCTGCTTGCAAAGTGAGCATAGTCACTACTAAGTAGTATCGTAATATATCAAGAGCTCTTTTCCCCGGGGCCTCCTTCAGTCCTTGTAGTAGCCCTGAAATGTCTAGTTCTAGCTCCTTATTTTGCAGAGGAGGAGCCTAAGGTGGCCCGCCCACGGGAGGCAGAGCTGGCCTTGACGCCAGCCCCATGCTCACTCCACACCCAGCATCATGATGCTGCTGTCATCCCCCAACTTCCGGCTTCCCGAGCTCCAGGCAGTGGAGACCCACCATCCTGCCGGCTGTTGGCACCGCCGCTGGGTGGTGAGGGGCTGCCGCAGGTTTGGGCCACCTGCCCACCCCAGGACAGGCTCAAACCGAGTGTCTAGGAAGAGTCTCTTGACTAGGGGAGTGAACAGGTGCCGGAGGATCGCAGTACCGCCGTGGGCTCTGGCTGGGTAAATCATCCCAGCTCTGGGGCTCTGGGCTCCAGCACGACAAGGCAGTGTGCTCCGCACAAAGACAGGATGTACTTGGGGAGAGGCTGCACCATTGTTGTGAGCGGAAGAGAAATTAATTTTAAGCCTGGAGTTGATTCCAGCCTGGGAGGGAAACGCCAACACTCGGAGAGGGCTGGTTTCAGGCATGTGCACGCCAGAGCTCACGTGCCCACTGCAGCCTGAATTCAGTGGGGAAACGCGCCCCGGGCACCCTCCCTCCTCTGACAGCGTTCCAAGCCACCCCCACATCCCAGCACCGGAAGAGCCTGGCCCCTCCTTCCATCTAGAAGCCTTGGGTGTGTTCTCCACTGAGCCACACCCTGTCCTCTGCCCCACCAACTAAAACACACCACCCAGGCTGCTGCCGAAAAGGCTGGGAGAGGGGCAGGGAGCCAGACTGAGACCGCCTCTCTCCAGCGCTCCGAAGGGTTTGGTCAGTTCTCTGTCACTCAACCTGGCGCTTGGTGACGAGGACACAGAATGGACCTCCCAGGTCCGCTGGCCTCCTGGGTCTGGCCTGATGGCCTCCCGGGTCTCCAGGCCTGATGGAGTGGGACACACGGACGTCCAGCAGGTTCCAGCCTGGTGGGAGAGGGAGGCCTGGATCACAGACTGCGGGCCACCGTGGCCCTGGGGGCCACATGTGGTGGGAAGGGCAGGGGGATGTGTTGGCAAACACTGGCGACCGCAGCTCCCCTAAGGGCCTCTGAACTGCCGCCACAGCCGCTACAGCCGGGTGCACTCTAACATCAGCTCCAAGTCGGGGAGAGGCAGGTGCTGCCCTCAGAAAGCTGCCACCTGGGCCAGAGGCACGGGACACCAGGGAGTACCTGCTGCAGAGCCGGATAATCCTGCTGCCCTCCAATGCCCTGACTCCAATAAGCTGATCTCTGGGCCTCAGTTTCCCCAAGTGTGCAATGAAAGGCCTGGCCATCCAGCCCCCCCAGCAGACCCGGTCCCCTAACACTCATTCTAGTCCCCTTCCTCACTTGAGGACCCTAATTTTGTCTTGTCAGTTAACAGACCCAGCTACAAAACCCCTTTTCTCAGTTTTCCCTGGCTGCTAGCAGTGACCAGGAGACCCCAGGGTGCTTATCAATGAGACAGGAGAGGACATCATCTGTGGGCTTCCAGAGAGAGGAGCAGACAGCATGCACACTGCTTTTGCTCCTGGCTCTGGCCCTGGAGATGGACTACCATGGGCTTTGGCCCCCACTCAGCTTGCCCTATGTTACAAGGTTCCCTGATGGCAATGGGGTGAGGTGGGCTGCAGAGGCCATGCTTAGAGCAAGAGAAAGGTCAGCCAACCTGCTGGGCTGGGACTGACTGTGCAGGTGCCCTGAGGCCGGACGGCAGGCAGCAGCGACGCCCCAGGTCCCAGACCCCAGAAGGCTGGTCAGCCCCCAGGACAGGAACCAGGCCATGGCTGAGGACTGTGAGGGTAGCAGACAGAAGGACAATCAGGCCCAGGCTGCCCAGAGACGGGGCCGGGAACAGATCTGCAGACAAAGTGGCATCTCTAGGCCTCTGGAAATTGTGTGTGATTTCAAGCAAAGAGACGGTAGTGGTTCAATTTTGTCCCCCTAAAATCCACGACTATGTAGAACCTCAGAATGTGACCTCCTTTGGAAATAAGGTTGCTGGAGATGCAATCAGTTGGGATGAGGTCATCCTGGAAGAAGTGGGCCCTCAGTCCACTGGTTGGTGCCCTTGTAAGGAGGGAAAATACAGTCTCACAGAGACATGGCCACGTGCAGATGGAAGCAGAGACCAGGGGATGTGGCCACAAGCCAAAGAACACCTGGAGCCCCCAAAAGCTGGAAGAGCCAAGGAAGGATCCTCCCCTAGAGTGCTGGAGGGAGAGGACCCTGCCGACACCTTGACGTTGGTCTCTGCCTTCAGAACTGTGAGGGGAGACACTTCTGTTGTTCAAGCCCCAGCTGGTGGCTTTGAACCCTTTGTGACAGCAGCCCCAGGGCAAGAACACAAAGGGTGAGCGCGTAGCAGGCCAGTGTGGTGATCTGCGTCTGTCCATCCGGTGGTCCCTCCCTCCATCTGGCGCCCAACGCGTCCTCAGGACTGGCCGGGGCCTGGGGACTGGACACGGAGCAACTGGCAGCAGAGGGGGATGACAGAGCCTGCATTCCGGAATCTGACCGACAAAGGGCTGTGGCATTCCTAGGAGAAGCCGTGGAAGACCAGCAGGAATTACAGGAGCAGCAGCAAGAACCCTTCAGAGGACCCGCGAGATGCGAACTCCTACCCCAGTAAACCACCAAGGGGAAGAGGCAGGTCCCCATCCACGCAGCTCAGGAACAGGAGAGCTGACTTTTCCATGGCAAATAAGGCCCAGGTTGCCTAAAACAGGGGAGGGTAGCCTAAGGCTCTCCCAGACTCATGACAACTTAGATTTGTACAAGTGGTACATTCAGCTGGAATCTGGGAGGAGCCTGCTGGGGGCCGTGCCATCCTGAAGGTTCCCAGAGTCACACACACACACACACACACACACACACACACACACACACACACACACACACACACACTCTCTCTCTCCCTCCTACCCGCCTTCTCCAAATAAAACCATGTCCCTGGTCTGTTTCTCTCAGTATCCACCTTCTCCATCACGGAGGAGGTCTCAGCTCCTAATCCACTCAGCAAAGTCCCGGCGGACAGTGAGTCACTGAGTCCTGGGCCAGGCACACGCTGAGCTCAGGGCCTCCAGGACAAGGTAACCCGGAGGGCTCTGAGAATAGGACAGCGTAGGTGCCCCCACAGCAGAGGATGTGACTGGGTGTCTGTGAGGTTGCTTCCTGCATGACAAGCTGGGGTTATAAGAACACAAAAGCCTGTAGGATGAAGCCTGGCCCAAAGCAGTCGGGGTCCCGTGACCTCCCCGACGTCTCTTCAGGCAGTGTCCTCCCCAGGGCGCCAGGCTTCCCTAGCTCCGAGTCTGGGCGTCTGAAATCTGCTGTGTAATTGGATCACGCCCCAGCCCGTGCTGAGCGTCCATCTGCACCCGTCTCGGAAAACACAAGTCTCAGAGAAAGAAAGCAGTTGCCACAGGTAATTTTCTATCAAATATATCACATTTCTTGGAATCACATGTGGAAGTTAACTATTAGATTCTCCCTTATTTTTGAAATGCTTTCAGAGGACAATGGAAAGGTTCACTGTGTTCTGGGAAATGCTTCATTTAGATGCTAAACATTAGAATGCAATTTGTTCTTCAATCAGGGAAGAGAGGAATGAGCGGACTTTTAAGGATGCCATCCGCGGTCCCTGCTCCTGGTTCTATCGCGGGCCCTGAACAGCCGCAGGTGTGCGAAGGCAGGTTGGGGAACACTTTTGAGTCAGACCTACCTCCCTGGTTTAACCAGAGGCTCTTTTCTCTCCTTGATAAAAATCCAAATTGTGATTGTTTTATAGAACTGCCTTTTACAACAGAATCGTCTCCCCACATACCATATTCCCCTGATGCTGCCTGACAACTCTTGTCTCCCATGGATGTGGGCACACAGCCACACGCTGCTCTACCTCCCACCCGCCCTGAGCACTCGGTGGATGCTGGGACCCTGCTGGTCAGCCAACCAGAAAAGGGCGTGTGAGGGTACATCCGGGCGGCAGAAGAATGTACTAATTGGTTTATTTTTTGAAACGAGGTCATGTTGCTCTGGAAGGTAACTCAGGGGAAGGGTAGACAGGACCAGAAGGAGGACAGAGGACAAGGACATCATTCAGCAAGATGAGGGCCTGAGAAGCTGGGTCTCTGAGAAGCCTGGGCTCCTTTAATCCCAGTGAGACCCTCACACGGAGCGCTGACGGATGAGGGGTAGGGGGACAGGGACGGGGGCAGGTGCTCATTGAGGAGAGAGGCCCTGCGGTCCCCAGACCTGGGCATGAGGGGGCTGCCACTGGGCACAGATGGGCAACCTGGGCACCAGGCAGAATAGCATCTGCAGCTGATTTAGACACATTGAATATATAAAAACGTTATATATATTAAATATATATTATGTATGTTATATATAACATATTTATACATA